TTATGAAGGGTGTGAGATAACATTATGCAGGGTGTGAGATAACATTATGAAGGGTGTGAGATAACATTTTGCAGGGTGTGGAATAACATTATGAAGGGTGTGAGATAAAATTATGCAGGCTGTGAGATAACAGTATGCTGGGTGTGAGATAACATTATGAAGGGTGTGGAATAACATTATGAAGGGTGTGGAATAACATTATGCAGGGTGTGGAATAACATTATGCAGGGTGTGGAATAACATTATGAAGGGTGTGGAATAACATTATGCAGGGTGTGGAATAACATTATGAAGGGTGTGGAATAACATTATGAAGGGTGAGGAATAACATTATGCAGGGTGTGGAATAACATTATGCAGGGTGTGGAATAACATTATGAAGGGTGTGGAATAACATTATGCAGGGTGTGGAATAACATTATGCAGGGTGTGGAATAACATTATGCAGGGTGTGGAATAACATTATGAAGGGTGTGTAATAACATTATGCAGGGTGTGGAATAACATTATGCAGGGTGTGGAATAACATTATGAAGGGTGTGGAATAACATTATGCAGGGTGTGGAATAACATTATGAAGGGTGTGGAATAACATTATGTAGAGTGTGGAATAACATTATGCAGGGTGTGGAATAACATTATGCAGGGTGTTGAATAACATTATGCAGAGTGTTGGATAACATCATGCAGGGTGTTGGATAACATTATGCAGGGTGTGGAATAACATTATGCAGAGTGTTGGATAACATCATGCAGGGTGTGTAATAACATTATGAAGGGTGTGGAATAACATTATGAAGGGTGTGAGATAACATCATGCAGAGTGTTGGATAACATCATGCAGGGTGTGTAATAACATTATGAAGGGTGTGAGATAACATCATGCAGGGTGTGGAATAACATTTTGCAGGGTGTGGAATAACATTATGCAGGGTGTGGAATAACATTATGCAGGGTGTTGAATAACATTATGCAGGGTGTGGAATAACATTATGCAGGGTGTTGAATAACATTATGCAGGGTGTTGAATAACATTATGCAGAGTGTTGAATAACATTATGCAGAGTGTTGAATAACATTATGCAGAGTGTTGAATAACATTATGCAGGGTGTGGAATAACATTATGCAGGGTGTGGAATAACATTATGCAGGGTGTTGAATAACATTATGCAGAGTGTTGGATAACATCATGCAGGGTGTTGGATAACATTATGCAGGGTGTGGAATAACATTATGCAGAGTGTTGGATAACATCATGCAGGGTGTGGAATAACATTATGAAGGGTGTGAGATAACATCATGCAGAGTGTTGGATAACATCATGCAGGGTGTGTAATAACATTATGAAGGGTGTGAAATAACATTATGCAGGGAGTGGAATAACATTATGCAGGGTGTGGAATAACATTATGCAGGGTGTGGAATAACATTATGCAGGGTGTTGAATAACATTATGAAGGGTGTGAAATAACATTATGCAGGGAGTGGAATAACATTATGCAGGGTGTGGAATAACATTATGCAGGGAGTGGAATAACATTATGCAGGGTGTTGAATAACATTATGCAGGGTGTTTGATAACATTATGAAGGGTGTGGAATAACATTATGCAGGGTGTGGAATAACATTATGAAGGGTGTGGAATAACATTATGAAGGGAGTGAGATAACATTATGCAGGGTGTGAGATAACATTATGAAGGGAGTGAGATAACATTATGAAGGGTGTGGAATAACATTATGCAGGGTGTTGAATAACATTATGAAGGGTGTGGAATAACATTATGCAGGGTGTGAGATAACATTATGAAGGGAGTGAGATAACATTATGAAGGGTGTGGAATAACATTATGAAGGGTGTGGAATAACATTATGAAGGGTGAGGAATAACATTATGATGGGTGTGGAATAACATTATGTAGGGTGTTGAATAACATTATGAAGGGTGTGGAATAACATTATGCAGGGTGTTGAATAACATTATGCAGAGTGTTGGATAACATCATGCAGGGTGTTGGATAACATTATGCAGGGTGTGGAATAACATTATGCAGAGTGTTGGATAACATTATGAAGGGTGTGTAATAACATTATGAAGGGTGTGGAATAACATTATGAAGGGTGTGAGATAACATCATGCAGAGTGTTGGATAACATCATGCAGGGTGTGTAATAACATCATGCAGGGTGTGTAATAACATTATGAAGGGTTTGAGATAACATTATGAAGGGTGTGAGATAACATTATGAAGGGTGTGGAATAACATTATGCAGGGTGTGGAATAACATTATGCAGGGTGTGGAATAACATTATGCAGAGTGTTGGATAACATTATGCAGGGTGTGGAATAACATTATGCAGGGTGTGAGATAACATTGTGAAGGGTGTGAGATAACATTATGCAGGGAGTGAGATTACATTATGCAGGGTGTGGGATAACATTATGAAGGGTGTGGAATAACATTATGAAGGGTGTGAGATAACATTATGAAGGGTGTGAGATAACATAATGTGAGTGTGAGATAACATTATGAAGGGTGTGGGATAACATTATGCAGGGTGTGGGATAACATAATGTGAGTGTGAGATAACATTATGCAGGGTGTGAGATAACATTATGCAGGGTGTGAGATAACATTATGCAGGGTGTGGGATAACATCATAGTAGGTACTTGCAAGTATATGATACAGATTACAAAAGCAATGATGCCAGTAGCTGACAGGCTAGTTTCCCCACATACTTCTTGTGCATTTGTTTCACAGCATCAGGGTTTGTCTTCAGCAGTCTCGCCGACCACAGAGGGTCATCCTGGAGATGAAGAAAACAACTCACGTATCTGGGGGGCGTAATATTTGTCCAGTTTTCTAACTACAATAATGTTATCATTACACTTTGGTTTTTAAATTTTTTAACACACTTCATTGAATATACCTGACTTTCAATAGTAATAGAAATCAATGCCTATGTCTGTATCTCACATCAATGCTCTTGAAGCCGAGCCGGACCATTTCTGTGGCACTGCCGCCATCCAGTAGCACATACTTCTGGTCAATCAGACGCTGCAGTCTTCTCTTACTCTCTGTCCTGGTGTTACTCGCCATACTGTACAATATATCATAATACAGATATATATCACTGATATATAATGTACAACTCACACTCTGTGTGAGGGAATCAGGTTTGTTTGTTTGTTTGTTTGTTTGTTTGTTTGTTGTTTAACGCCACACTCAGCAATATTCCAGCTACATGACGGCAGTCTGTAAATAATCGAGTCTGGACCAAACAATCCAGTGATTAACATCATGAGCATCGATCCACGCAATTGGGATACGATGACATGCATCAACCAAGTCAGCGAGCCTGACCACCCGATCCCGTTAGTCGCCTCTTACGACAAGCATAGTCGCCTTTTACGGCAAGTATGGGTTGCTGAAGACCTATTCTACCCTGGATCTTCACGGGGCAACAGATACACAATATATGGCACCCAGCATACTGCACTAGGGCATCCAGAATACCACAGGGCTCGGCATCCAGAATACCACAGGGCTCGGCATCCAGAATACCACAGGGCTCGGCATCCAGAATACCACAGGGCTCAGCATCCAGAATACCAAAAGGAGTTGGCACCTTTATTAATAGTTTTCAACATTTTCAACTGATTCAAACAACATGCAGATTTGTTATGTAGAGGGGTATGTCCGAGTAACTCTCCATTCCTTAAAAATAATGGAGGATATATTCCCCTACTTAAAACTCATCCCTACTTTTACACTTTGACAAAATATTCTGTAGTTGAAAATATTTGAAAAATTCAAATGCTGCTTCAAGATAATGTACAGTTGACAAGCAACTCTCCATTCCTGAAAAATAATGGAGCGTTCAAACAATAGAATGACGTCACAGATGTGTTTTAATGATATATAAGGTGAATGTCATCTCAATTTAGAAAACATCAACAAAATCCTGTCAGTCAGGAAATCACACAGTGGTACTTGAGTCTATTTTATTTTAACTCATCACAACCAAAGCAAGGAGGCCAATACACTTTGCGTTGCAAATCCAACTACCGACATCCACCCCCTTCATATTAATGAATTTAGCCTATTTAATCATTTTTTATATCCTTCCTTGTCTTGAAATTAGTTTGTTATTTTAATGAGCCCGTTTGAAAGTATCCAAATGAACAACATAAAAACAAGGCTCCAGGGGGATTCGAACCCTCGACCTTCTGCTTACTAGGCAGACGCTCTAACCAACTGAGCTATAGAGCCCTTGACGACAAGGGCGGATTTGATACATACACAATCTTGACAAACTGTCTCGTGCAGGTTTTTATCATTTTCGTTTTGGGATATATTTAACAAACTGCAAATGCAATCTAAATATATTTTTAAATGGAACAAAATAAATTCACAACATCTACGCGGTAATATTTATTAGGTAAACTACCGATCGATTTCATAGGATCTAACAGCCACGTGAACTAACGTGCAGTCGTTTTGACATTTTAAATAAAGAGTGCAATTCCTGTACAAGTGTACAGGAATACTGTCAGCCATACCTCTAACGTGTGTCATGCGTCATCTGGGTTCATTATAAATACGAACGTGATCACGTTTAGGTGGTCGCCATTTTGTATCGAGAGAGACAGGAAAGGTGTGAGAAGCGCTCGTAAAAGGTAAAATACGTTTCAGTCGTCAGCTGAACTTGCCTGCGGAATTCGATATTTACAGTTTTGTTTGTTTGTTTGCCGTTTAACGCCGCACTCAGAAATATTCCAGGTATATGACGGCGGTCTGTAAACAATCGAGTCTAGACCAGACAATCCAGTGATTGACATCATGAGCATCAATCCATACAATTGGGATTGATGACATGCATCAACCAAGTCAGCGAGCCTGACCACGCGATCCCGTTAGTTGCCTCTTACGACAGGCATGGTCGCCTGTTACGCTGAAGCATAGGTTGCTGAAGACCTATTCTACCCCGAATCTTCACGGGTACTATATTTAAAGTATTCATATTTATCAGTATCATTGGCGAACAAAATTAATAGAAATGGATCATTTAGACGATCTCAAGCACAAAACTAGAGTGCGCATATGAAATTTTTAAAAATAGTATTTAAAAATCCGAAACATTTTCCCCTCTTCCCTTGTAAGCTTCGAGTTAGTGAGTTAGTGGGTCAATGAGTCTACTGTGAGTCGTTTATTTCTTTTTTGAGATATTATACAGCCACTTTCAGGATTTTAATAAATTTAACAAGCTTTAACAAATATTTACCTGTATTTGAATAATGATGACTCACTGACTACAATCCAATCTCGGCTCACACCTGAGGTGCATTCAATATTAAACAAGGCTGGCCGCATGGAACTCTGGGTAGGCGTGTGATCGCGGCAATGTCGGACTAGATTATTCTATGAACAGGGGGTTTAGTTTGGTATTTCCTGAACATTCTCTCAAACAAAAACAATTAACGGCATTTCATGTGTCGAGTGAAATATCATGTTTCTCTCACGAGATGAGATGATATTTCACGAGACACATGAATTATCAAATTTATTACAATTATACTTTTTGTGCAGTTTTCTACCGGAAAATTAATTGAAAATGTAAAACCTTGAAACGTAAATTCTCCCTACCTAACACACGGGGGACGGTTCACCACCCCTTGTATTTGCGACTTAAAAAGTAGTTTCGTGTTTGCAAAAGCTTAATAAATATAAACAAAAGTATCAAAAATTATTCAGGGTCACGAAAATTGTTTATCATACATTTAGATATGATTACATACAAAATCAACTATAACAAAAAATATTCTTGAAAACTGGGAGACCGCTGTTGGAGCGAAAGAATACACCCTGGTCAAAACAAAAATGGCCTTTGCGAAACGAAGAGTCTCGATTGACGAGTTAAATGAGAAATTTACAGTTTATAACGGAACATTTTCGGGAGAATAACAAACGGCAAGAGGTGATATTTACTCCATAAATAACCATCTGTCATTATCTTGCCTTGTCCAGAACTAATGTAAAAAGGACGACAACAGTTTGTGTACGGGCTGGACACTTACGGTAAGGGGAGACAATTTGAAGGGAGATAACTCTTGTATGCCAATAGTTCCGTCAAAGTGTTATGTTCACTGCAGTGAAATATCAAATGTTGTGTTCACTGCAATGAAAATATCTCTTTTCTCAACATCAGAAAACTTAATCTTTCACACTGAAGTATATAATGATTTGATGAAACGAGTGAATAGTTCTGGTATCTGACGAGCGAAAGTATAGTCGGTTAACTCCCTTGCCTCGGGAAGATGAGAAACGGAGGGATATTTGATTATTTGTTTCCCCCCATATTTTGTGTTGACAGGTTAACAAAAATCATGGAAATAATGTATCTTCAAGGAAATAGACTAAAATAAGAAAAGTAATTTCAACGAATCCCTCCCGAGACAACCTACTTATTTTCAGGAAAAAAATATGTTTCATTTTACCATCAAACGTAAGTAGTTTAAACACTACTTAAGACATAAAATATCCAAATCGAAAAGTCAGTATTGTAGCATTGTAGATATATCAGCTGATCGTTTACTTACATCTGATAGGTGAAAATATAAACATCTTTCTCTGACAAGGACACAATCAGAGGAACAGATACAATGTGTATTCGAGCATAACCATATATGATTGAGTTTTGAATTAAAAACAAACAATTTAGGTATATTGATGTCACAGAATTTCGCAATACACCATTTTAGTCGTTGTTTGTCGGGTTTCCTGTCATAAATATTGTCACGCTTGGTTAAAATATTCAAGGACCCCGGACACGGTGATTCGAAACTTTACGGGTGAAGCAAGTGACACGTGACATGTCTGGTTCAAGGCGATACAGTCGGCAGCAATACCATGATATCGCATAGATTCTATACCGCCGGGGACCAATCAGAGTGCTGCATTCTACAAAATCACGATCATTTCAAGATGATTTCAAGATGGCAGTTCCCAGAATCCCGTGAAGATCCGGGGTAGAATTGGTCTTCAGCAGCCCATGCTTGGCGTACGAGGCGACTAACGGGACCGGGTGGTCAGGCTCGCTGACTTGGTTGATGCATGTCATCGTATCCCAATTGCGTAGATCGATGCTCGTGATGTCAATCACGGCATTATCTGGTCCAGATTCGATTATTTACAGACTGCCGCCGAATATTGCCAAGTGCAATAACAAACAATCAGTTCCCATAGTAAAATCACGACACCGATTCATGTAATATAATCACTTTATTCGTCATTCGTTCAACAAGGTAATCACACTCGAAAGAAACCACTTCCCTTGCAAAGTCACTCTCCTCTCGGAGGTGTAAAACAAACTATATTTTGCAAACATTTACCATGCTATAATAATGAATGCAGATAAACGTGTTTTTATTTATTAAAACACATCACCAATTTCAATTAGTTTTCCAACCAAGATAATTACATGATCGTTTATCCCTAAGAGCTGATCACCTGTTTGCTCTTACCGTAATGGTGGCAGTTGTCAAAACGTCGGGATTTAGTAGCTGTACAGCGCCAAGCAATCTCATTAAAATCAGATGTTAGTTCTCGCTACCGCTAAACAAAGATCTGAGAACATCACATTTCGGGTCACGTCAGACCGACCTTGCGCGAACTTTGACCGACCAATGGAATGACCAATCAGAAGGCGACTACGCTTCGAAACATATTTTGACAAATTCTCGATTACAAATTTGAAACCTCAACAAAAAACATTCTGGAATGGCTAATAGATGGTCTAGATTGTAAGGATTCAGTTGTTAAACTATCGTTCGGAATACCCCATTTTAAAGTTTTCGAGGTTGCAGGAATAGGAATCACATTCCGACTGTCACTTTCATAATCTGGTGAGCGACGCTCTGATTGGTCGGATGAAAGGTCGTTCTGACGTGACCCCTAATGGGATGTCTTCAGATCTTTTTAGCGGTATAAGCGAGAACTAAGGTCTGATTTTAATGAGATTGAGTGCCAAGGGAACGATTTCATAATTACTAAAAGTAATGTCACAACTTATTAATTATTTGCTTTGGGGGAAATTCGATCGCTTCTGGGTTTTTTTCTAAATATTTATGATATAATTACAATTATGAAGAGCAAATATAAATCATCGGTGTTACTTGAATTCTTCCTCTTGCTTTAAAAACTGGTGTTGACTGCATTGTTCAGTAAAAATGCTTCTTAACAAAATAATGTCAGTATGTGATGTTATAACATTGACGAAATATATTTGAGTATTTCTACGTGTCCCTTATTATTATAAAATCAGTATTTTTAGTGATTTCATGTTTTTGGCAATCTCTCCATTTTTAACATTAAAAAACACACCTAAATCCTTGTAAGGTTAATTCACATAGCACCCGCCCCCACAACGATGTGGGAAAGTACAAAACAGTATATCTGGAATAGTCTGGAGGGTAGGAGTGTGACATGCGCGGACTGTTCCGGAAGTTACACCAAAGCTGTAGAGTAAGGACTGAGCTTTGGGATACGAAAACTTCCAAAAACGTCTCTTAAGCTTAACCTCCTGCTGGCCGTGGAGAATGTATTTATGTGTTGCTCAGATGGAAGAGGTCGAAGTCGAACTGCTGTTGGTCACTGGAGCTCATGGTCTTGAGACACAAGCCACGGCCGTCGTGAGTGAGGAACAGATCTGGAACAGAAGAACAGAAGAATTAGAGTGAGTGAGTTGGGTTTAACGCCGCTTTTAACATTAGTCCAGTTATATCACGGCGTGTCAGCTTAATGTGTGAGGAAAGCCCGAAGTGATACAGGTCTCAGACGTTTACCACTTCGCTGAAACCCACGAGCACGGGTATGGTGCTGACAAACCTAGAAAAATAATCGGGGCGAACCGGGATTCGAACCCACAATCATAGGTTTCTGGCGTGGCCAAGGGACGCAACTCTGCAAGCGAATCGCGGCGCCTTGGACGACTGGGCCACCCGTGCCCCAAGAAGAATTAGAGAAATACAGACAGTGTTACACTTTATTATCCGTGCTGACGGTCAGCCATTAGTCTTGTTTTTTTCTTCTTTTTTTGTTTAACACTGCACTCTAGCTATATGAAGGCGGTCTGTAAAAAATCGAGTCTGGACCAGACAATCCAGTAATTGACATCATGAGCATCGATCCACGCAATTAGGATACGATGTCATTGGTTTGTTGTTTTACGCCCCACTCAGCAATATTCCAGCTATATGACGGCGATCTGTAAATAATCGAGTCTGGACCAGACAATCCAATGATTGACATCATGAACATCAAGAACATCGATTCACACAACTGGGATACGGTGACATGCATCAACCAAGTCAGCGAGCCTGACCACCCAATCCCGTTAGTCGCTTCTTACTACAAGCATAGTCACCATTTACGGCAAGAATGGGTTGCTGAAGACCAGGGTCCACTTGCACAAAGCGATCTTAGCACTAAGATGATCGTAACTCCCATACTTTAACATAGGCTTACAATAGTCGTAGCGCTAAGATCGCTTTGTGCAAGTGGGCCCAGTTCTTATCCGGATCTACAGATAATCAAAATTTATATTGTCATTAAACTGGTGTTATTTCGCGAAGTGCATCAAGTTAATAGAGCACCTTGATTAAAAACATGAAAGGATTTGGACAATATCTGTTGACGCCGAGTTGGCGGTACACATGCTTTGCAAATTCTGCAAGTTTTGCACGGCAGTTTAAGAACCGGATGTCGATTTCGTTACGCGATTTTGATTGGACTATGCTTAGACTCGTTAATCCAGCCAAAGTATAACACCACAATTTCAGCCTAGTTCGGCAAGGGTCGAAACTGTACTTTACAGTCAGTTAATTCCCTTGCCTAGGGAAGATGTTAAAAGCTATACCTTTGTTTGTAAAGCTTCTGAATTGATACCATCCCTTGTCTCGTGCGAACATCTCGAAGAGTCTCGCGTCAGTGACACTCACAACGGGATCACAGGTGCCTTCCTGAAACAGACAGAAATATGAAAAACATCCTTGGTCAGAACAATCTGATTACCGCGAAACCCAGGGGGATTCAGAGGAAGAATCTCTGTCCCCGGGATCCCATGCTGTTCATAAGAGCTGACGAGACTATGCTTGTCGTAAGAGGCGACTAACATCGGATCGGGTGGTCAGGCTCGCTGACTTGGTTGATGCACGTCATCGTATCCCAATTGCGTGGATCGATGCTCATAATGTCAATCACTGGATTGTCTGGTGCGGACTCGATTATTTACAGACCGCCGTCATATACCTGGAATATTCCTGAGTGCGGCGTTAAACAACAAACAAACAAACATAAGAGCTGACAAAGACAATCGCGAAGTTCTTAAGGCTCAGCGGCGTTGACCTACGTGTCATCGTACTCTAAAAGTAAAATAGTTAAATAGTTAACAATAATACATGGTCAAGCCATGATACGGACTATAAATACCTCACTGAGACTCGGGGTGGGGGTTAGGGGCAAGAACACCACGCATTTACGTGTGACAGATCATTAACTCTTTTAAATTAAGTCATATATACCGCCATGACCTACCTGTAGAACGACCTGCTGGTCATCACGTGCTGTGACGTAATAGGTGACCCCGTTGACCTTGTGGCTGAGATAGCAGACCGACATCATCACGCCCTTTACGAGAACCGCCAAACAAGCCAGGGTGAAGGTCACTGTGGAAATTTAATTTACAGTTATTTAGCATCAAGTGAGTGAGTGAGTTTTGGTTTAGCTCCGCTTTTAAAAGTATTCTAGTTATATAACGACGTGTAAGGTTATTGTGGGGGGAAAGCCTGAAGTGATGCAGGTCTTACCACTTTTGAACCTTCGGTGAAATCCACGAGCACGGGTATGGTGCTGACAAACCTAGAAACATAATCGGGGAGAACCGGGATTCGAACCCACAATCATAGGTTTCTGGCGTGCCCAAGGGACGCAATTCTGCACAACGAATTGCGGCGCCTTAGACGAGCATCAAGGCTCGGCAGCAAGAAGTGATGCTGATGCTGAGATTATCCCCATCATTTAAAAACATTTTCCAACCATTCAGGTTGAATTTAATAATTTCACTTTTCAGGGTCGGGATATTCGTGAACAATATTTTTCATAATGTATATTTTATCTATAGCATTTATAACATGAGTTGTGAAGAAGAGAATAATCATTTTCGTTGGCGAGAAAAGGAATACAGAATACCGCTTAACAAAAATCTGATTTTAATATGATTGAAAGAGGTTATAACGCGGTGCATTTCGGGTAAATGTTTGCCTTGGGGTTACCTGTATCGTAGTCCTTGATTCCATGCACTAGCGTCATGACGGGTGGGCTACCGTCAACGCTCACGTGCTCGTTGTTCCGGACACTGACCAGAACACTTGTCTTTGACCACTTGGTCCCAACGGGCACTAGGGAACCATCTGAAACAGACAGCCATTTACATTCACCAAATTTCTTTAATGAAACCCGACTCGCTCGCTCGCCCGCACTCACTCACTCACTCACTCACGCACGCACGCACGCACTCACGCAGGCACGCACGCACGCACGCACTCACGCAGGCACTCACTCACTCACTCACGCACACACTCACTGTAGTGAGTGAGTTTGGTTTTACGCCGCTTTAAGCAATATTCCAGCAATATCACGGCGGGGGACACCAGAAATGGGCTTCACACATTGTACCCATGTCGGGAATCGAACCCGGGTCTTCGGCGTGACGAGCGAACGCTTTAACCACTAGGCTACCCGACCGCCCCAGCACTCACTGTACTGCTTGTTGTAAGAGGTTACTATATATACAGTATACATGATCTGGTGGTCAGATTACCAGGGGCCAGTTTCCCAAAGCGATCTTAATTAGCGTTATGACAATCGTAACTTCCATTCTTTGACACTGACTTACACAGACGTAGCGCCAAGAAAAGTAAGATCGCTTGGTCGAACGGGTCCCAAACACACGACATGCCACCGTAACCACACTGGCGATGGAAGTTGCTCATACTATCAGTCACTTCCTGTTTAAATTCAATTCCATAGGGGCGGTCGGGTAGCCTAGTGGTTAAAGCGTTCGCTCGTCACACCGAAGAACGGGGTTCGATTTCCGACATGGGTACAATGTGTGAAGCCCATTTCTGGTGTCCCCCGACGTGATATTGCTGGAATATTGCTAAAAGCGGCGTAAAAAAATACTCACTCACTCATTCACTCAATTCTATACAGGTCACCTTTATGCATAGAGGTGATATTTTTGACTGAGGTGTAACACGATGAAGAATCAAGCAAAGATGTCAAACGACAAATAAACAAAGAAGTCAAACGATAAGTAATCAAACAAAGAAGTCAAACGATAAGTAATAAAAAAAACAGTCACTCATTACCCGAAAGAATAACAACCAACCCCCTGTATGTTATTAACATACAGATTCGCAATGATGTAGTGAAAAAATAATTCGTTAATTCATTTAAAATTCAAACTGAAGTCCTGCGGTCCAATGAACATCGACATGGTTGCTCCCTCAGCTCCCGTAACTGCCTGAACGAACCGGATAATCCTGTCAGTACAATAATGTTTAAACGTTGCATTAAATGAGAAAAGAATTGTTTTTACCTTTAAAAGACAGCGGGCTGCTCTCACAACATGTAGTCTGGGTTTTGTTAGGCATCTTCGAATACGTACAAACTTCTCTCGCTTCAATTTCGAATGTAACTGAATGTGTCAGGTTGACTATTTATATGTACACGCGCGGAAGCTGATATGTTACTATAAATAGCAAAGCGGAAACCCCCGGAAATCCGCCACAAATACTGCTTGCATAAGATTACGCGACACGTGACCTGCATCATTTGTTGTGCGTTATTTTCAAACAGGCCAAACTGCATTTTGTATTTCACATAAATATTGCGCAGGTGACAGAAGACTGGCGTTTTAATTTAATATATTCACCATTAATGTTTAAGTATTTGCATAATAGTTGATAATAAAACCCTATATCATATATAGTATTACCGTATTTCATTTTATAATCGCTTGGACTCAAACTAGGGCTGGTTCTAGGAGCTGGCGGGGGCACGGGTGGCCCAGTCGTCTAAGGCGCCGCGATTCGCTGTGCAGAGTTGCGTCCCTTGGGCATGCCAGAAACCTATGATTGTGGGTTCGAATCCCGGTTCTCCCCGATTATGTTTCTAGGTTTGTCAGCACCATACCCGTGCTCGTGGGTTTCACCGAAGTGGTAAACGTCTAAGACCTGCATCACTTCGGGCTTTCCTCCCACATTAAGCTGACACGCCGTGATAAAACTGGAATACTGTTAAAAGCGGCGTTAAACCCAACTCACTCACTCACTAGGAGCTGGCTATTTAGAAGAGCTACGGTATACAGGCTATTTGTTTATCTTGTCATATTGATATTTTCCTGTCTGACGCAGGGGACCATCTTCCCGAGACAAGCGTGCACGTGTCCAAGCCTGTATCAAATCCTAGTTTCTACAAGACATTGATAAAAAGGCTAGAGGACGCTCTTGCCTCGAGAAGATGCAGGTGACGAAATCAGGTATATTGTAATTGACAACTAACGTCATTCACTACTTACGAAATAGACAATAGTTTTGCAGGGAGTAAGAAAAGGGACATAAGTCAGTGAGTGAGTTGGGTTTAATGCCGCTTTTAACAGTATTCCAGTTATATCGCGGCGTGTCAGCTTAATGTGGGAGGAAAGCCCGAAGTGATGCAGGTCTCAGACGTTTACCACTTCGCTGAAACCCACGAGCACGGATATGGTGCTGACAAACCTAGAAACATAATCGGGGCGAAGTTGGATTCGAACCCACAATCACAGGTTTCTGCCGTGGCCAAGGGACGCAACTCTGCACAGCGAATCGCGGCGCCTTAGACGATTGGGCCACCCGTGCCCCCAAAAGGGACATAAGATTACCGAGCAAAATAAACACAAAATCGCTGAGGGAGATAGAGACAATGGGATTCGGAATTTTTTGTGTGGAATCAAACCCGGGTGTTAGGCCCGGCGAGCGAGCGATTAACCACTGGGCTACCGTGACTCCGATTCTTGAGACAGAGAACCATACACACACCTTGCTTCGGACTAGTGGATTGACTGAGTGAGTGACTATGGTTTTACGCCGCACTTAGCGACATTCCAACTTCAAGTATCGCGAGGGCCCGGTCAGATATACCAGTGGTCACGCAGCCAAACAAGCAGTAGAGTTCTTGGGACCGATTCTTAGACGGGCCCGACGTCTTCACGAATTGTATATATACTACCCAAAAGAAGTTACAGAACACCCGAGTTTTGCATCTGGCTACAGTTAATCTGCCATGGCTGTGGGTACTGCAACAGTAGTCTTCCACTTGTGGGTGTTCTTTAACTTGTTTTGAGTAGTATATAACCCTGTGAGACCAGAACCCCGGTCTGACGCGGTCGACGTACGCTTTAACCACTAGGCCACCCCATCGCACATCCCGCAACTACCAACTGATATTCAATGATTTTCAAATTAAAGAAATATCTGTTTAAATATTACAAAACATTACAACATTACATGACCCTGCATATTTTGAGATGACAGTAATCAACAGCAATAGTTGTAAAAGGCAGGAGGAAAACAGTACAAGGAAATAGATCACGAACTTTGATAAAACTGAAATAATGTCCTGCGTCACTTGAAGACGCCCTACGTGTTGATCTGGGTTATAAAAGTGTGTGTGGGGGGTGTGTGTGTGTGGGGGTGTGTGTGGGGTGTGGGGTGGGGGGGGGGGGGGGGGGGGGGTGGGGGTGGGGGGGGGGGGGGAGTGGGGGGTGAGTACGCGTGTGTGTGTGTGTGTGTGGGGGGGGGGGGGTTGTGTGTGGTGTTTGTGTGTGTCTGTGTATGTGGAGTGTGTGTGAGTACGCGTGTGTGTGCGTTTATGTGTGTGGAGTGTATGTGGCACGTATGTGTATGTGGAATGTGTGTGTTTGTGTGGTGTGTTTGTGTCTGTTTGTTTGTGTATGTCGAGTGTGTGTGTGTTTGTGAGTTTGTGTGGTGTGAGTGAGTGTGTGTGTATGTTGAGTGTATGTTTGTGAGTGTGTGTGTGTGTGTGGAATGTGTGTGGAGTGTGGATTACTGGCGCTATAACGAGGAGTGCTTGTGTCACACAGGCATAGTTTTTAAGATAAAGTTGTTGTTTTTATAAGTGAGTGACATGTTTTACAGTTGTTCTTGTGATTAGCGAGATAATTACGAATGCTTCCTAAGCGTCCGAAAACCCACAACCTGAGGATATATCCCAGCGTGTTGGCTTGATGTGGGAGGAAAGCCCGAAGTGATGCAGGTCTCAGACGTTTACCATTTGGGTGAAACCCACGAGCACGGGTATGGTGCTGACAAACCTAGAAACATAATCGGGGCGAACCGGGAATCGAACACACAATCATAGATTTCTGGCGTGTCGAAGGGACGCAACTCTGCACAGAAAATTGCGGCGCCTTACGGCGTCCTAAGAGGCGACTGACACGAACGGGTGGTCAGACTTGGTTGATGCACGTCATCGTAACCCTATTGCGAGATCGATGCTCATGATGTCAATCACGGGCACTGGATTGTCTGGTCCCGACATGATTATTTACAGACCGCCGTCTTATAACATAAGTATTACTTCTTTCAGTGGCATTTAGAAGTTGGTGTGATGAAGTAAGTATTGCTGAATGCGGCGTTAAACATAAAAGAAATATGCGAAAAGCCTCAGGGCTGGGAGTGAGTAACATTGAGCGAGAGGTTAACTTCTAGGGGATGTCGGCCAAACTATACAGAAATTAACAATATTGACTAGAAGCAGTCCCAATATGAATTTCATATACATGATGATATAAAAATATCCGGGTCATATTTTTTCTTCCCTGGTATGTTCCAAATGCACAAGAAACCTGGAACTTTTAAAACTTTTTTAAACTAATGTTTCAAATTCTGTTTTTTAAATCTTCTTTTTATTTTGTATGTTTGCATGTTTAAGGTTGTTTGAAACATTGTTTACATGATGTTAAAATATAATGGACACTGATCCAGTCTATGAACAAAGGAGACAGGGCATGATATGACAAAGGGGGGTAACTCTTGTTAACTTCTCAGTCCTTCCATAGATGATTCAAATCCTTTAACAACTTCAAAACACAAGCAAAGCGTATTTAGGTGTGTGCGTGTGTGTGTGTGTGTCTGTGTGGCGTGTGTGTGTAGAGTATATGTGTGTGTGGCGTGTGAGTGTGTATGTGTGTGTGTGACGTTTGCCGTGTGTGTGGCGTGTGAGTGTGTGGAGTGTGTATGTATGTATGGTGTGTGTGTGGTGTTTGTGAGTGTGTCGTGTGTATGCCGTGTGTGGGGGGCGTTTGTATGTGTGCTTTGTGTGTGGCTTGTGTGTGTATGTGTGTGCGTGTGGTGAGTGTGTGTGTGGCATGTGTGTGGAGTGTGTATGTATGTGTGTGTTTGGTGTGGTGTGTGTATGAGTGGTATGTATGTGTGTGTGGTGTTTGTGTGTAGAGTGTGTATGTATGTGTGTGGTTTGTGGCGTGTGTGTTGTGTATGTTTGGGGTGTATTTTCTCTGTGTGTGTGTGTGTGTGTGTGTGTGTGTGTATGAGTGTGTGTATGTGACGTGTGTGGTGTGTGTGTGGTGTATTGTGTGTGTATGTGTGTGGTGTGTGTGTGTGTGTGTGTGTGTGTGTGTGTGTGTGTGGAGTGTGTATGTATGAGTGTGTGTATGTGACGTGTGTGGTGTGTGTGTGGTGTATTGTGTGTGTATGTGTGTGTGGCGTGTGTGTTTGTGTGTAACGTCGCTTGGAACAACATTCCAGTTATCGTCGGGCCATTATGTCTTCGGAGATCATACGTTTTCGGACGGCCATGTTTATCGCGAATACTGGCGCTATAACGAGGAGTGTTTGTGTCACACGGACATAGTTTTTGTTTGTTTGTTTGTTGTTTAACGCCGCACTCAGCAGTGTTCCAGCTATATGACGGCGGTCTGTAAATAATCGAGTCTGGACCAGACCATCCAGTGATTGGTATCATAAGCATCAATCTAAGCAGTTGAGATACGATTACATACATCAACCAAGTCGGCGAGCCTGACCACATGAATATTGCTGAATCCGGAGTTGAACATAAAACAAACAACCAAATACAGTAAACTACGGTTATAACGAACTCAAAGGGACTACTAATTTTAGTTCGTTATAACCGTAGTTCGTTATAAGCATATATACAGCATAACTACAGCGAATAGTCGGGACCGAAAAGTAAGTTCGTTATATCCGTCAGTTCGTTATAAGCGTGTTCGTTATAACCGTAGTTTACTGTAGGCTCATGAGACTGGGCCTGAGCGACAGTAAGTTTGAGGTTAACTTCTAGGGGATGTCGGCCAACCTATACAGCATTTAACAATATTGACTAGAAGCAGTCCCAATATGAATTTAATATACATGATGATATAAAAAATATCCGGGTCATATTTTTTCTTCCCTGGTATGTTCCAAATGCACAAGAAACCTGAAACTTTTACAACTTTTTAAAACTAATGTTTCAAATTGTGTTTTTTTTTAAATTTTCTTTTTATTTTGCATGTTTGCATGTTTAATGTTGTTTGAAACATTGTTTACATGATGTTAAAATATAAGGGACACTGATCCAGTCAATGAACAAAGGAGACCGCATGATATGACAAAGGGGGATAACCCTTGTTAGCTTCTCAGTCCTTCCATAGATGATTAAAATCCTTTCACAATTTCCAAACACTTTGTTATAGTGCGCAAACTTGCTTAATAATTCATATCAAAATATAAAAATAATATTCAAAATTTATAAAATTAACTCACGTATCTTTACAGTCAAATCTCGGACATCTCACATGAATGGCAGTAACTCACTTAGGTTGTAAAAGCATGCCGCGAGACATAATTTAGACAATAGATGTCCGTTCGCATTACAGTTACCGGCTGCGTGTCCAATAACAGTAATCCCCGTGACAAGTCGGCGGTCAGTCTAAAATGCCGACGGCTCAACTAAACGCCATGCTTTGTTTTTTTATTACCTTATCCACTATAAGTAGACATTAGTTAGGTGACCTATGGGAATATTGTATCAACCCAGAACAACGCATGAAATAACAAAGGAAGTAATTGTGACAATACATTAAAATAATGTTTTCAAAACTAAACCAATCAGAGTTTGCTATGCGTCCCTCCACTATATAAGTAGGTGCAGGTTGACTACCGTGTAGTACCGTGTGCGAAATACGCATCGGTCGGAAAGCGCACGTTAAATCTCCAAAGTAAGTAAGTAAGCAACTACCAAGTCACACTGCACCTGAATAAATCTTGGAACGCTAGCAGCTATGATGTCATCATTTATTCTCAAATCTTCCATTCTATTTTAAGGTAAGACATTTTCATGCGTAGTTTCAATGGTTGTTTTCATTCATGTTGAATGTGTATTATGACTATTGTCTCAGATTGTTTTAATTGTTGTTTTCAAATATGTTGAATGTATTTCATGATTATTGTCTTAGATTTTTTGAACATTTTATATTTTCAACCACATGCGTTGGTTCATTATTAAGTTATTGTTTAATGTATTTTGAATTTTCAATAACGATATGGAATGTTTTCAATGCGCACTATGCCACTATAGGTGTGACTTATGTAGGTTGTAATCACTTATGTAGGTTGTAATCACTTATGAAGGTTGTAATCACTTATGTAGGTTGTAGTAATTTCGATCAATAAAATATGAAATTAATTATTCCTGTTCAACCTCTTGATAACCGTTTGATAAATAAGAAATCTAGTACAACTATCAACAACGTCGTAAAGTAAAATATGTCATGTCGTCAATATGTGTAGATTCATTGCTAGCAGTAATGCTGAACTTAGTTAATAGTCAGTCAGCTTTGTTCTTGATAGGAAATGAAATACCTGTAACTTGATGTTAATAGTTGAATGCACAATGCTCGTATGCGAGCTCTGCAAGTAGCTATATAACACTTGTATTAGAAGAACTACGGTAATGCGCGAAACTGCATTACCGTAATATATCTACAAATACGTCTATCATTAATGTTGCATTATTTCAGCTGACATTGGTATTGCGAATCATATGTGTTGTCTTTGTTATTGTGCCGTTATTTAAAGTTCCATCCTGATCTATTTGTGTATAATGTAATGGTGATTATTTGATATGTTATAAGATTGAAGCGAAATGCTTATTGATTTATATTCTGAGTAGTTATGTCATAAGAAACCACGACGTTATGACAATTATTTGTAATGATATAATTTATGATTATTAGATATGATTATGTGATTGAAATGTTTATTACACACTACACCTGAATAAATCTTGGAACGCTAGCAGCTCTGATGTCATCATTTATTCTCAATTCTTCCATTCTATTTTAAGGAAAAATTACCGTGAGACAGCACGTTCTCAACTTGTAAAGCAAAGCGTATTTAAGAATTTGTGTGCGTGCGTGCGTGCGTGCGTGCGTGCGTGCGTGCGTGCGTGCTTTTATCATCATCCTCTATTATTCAATGTATCATATATTTTTTGCTAAAAATAACAAAATAAATACGATGGACCCTTTCTTATTGATCCCAATGGATGGAGATGTGATACACTGGCTAATCAAGAGGGATGCATCTGTGTTTCAATGTTGTTTTACGCCGCTTTAGCATTATTCGGACAGTACCATAACCAACGGAAGCCGTGACATGGTAAAACAGTGGTAGGTAGTATGTTTGTTGTTTGTTTGTTTGTTTAACGCCGCATTCAGGAATATTCCAGCTATATGACGGCGGTCTGTAAATAATTGAGTCTGGACCAGACAACCCAGTGATTGACATCATGAGCATCGATCCACGCAATTTGGATACGATGACATGCATCAACCAAGTCGGCGAGCCTGACCACCCGATCCCGTTAGTCGCCACTTGCGACTAAGAGAATCGCATTTTACGGCAGGTGTGGTTTGCTGAAGACCTATTCTACCCACGGGTCTTGATAGCATTGGGGACGATCCACGCCGATTGGGTACACGTCACAACCGATGCTTTTTTCTCGAGTCTTACCATAAGCATGCTTCTCCATATGCAATGGGGTTGTTGTAAGTGTCGACTGTATGTAGTTTCTAAGATTTCTTCCACATAATATTTGTTTGTTGTTTTACGCCGCACTCAGATATATAACAGTATATCATGGTTTGTAAATAATCAAGTCTGAACCAGACAAGCCCGTGATTTGTATTACATATGTAGTCCATGCACCAAATTCATTCCGTTGGCTCTTAAGACAAGCATATAGTTTGCTGGGGATGAATTCTAAACCGGAATCCCTACTTGGTCCATCCTAAATGAGGACCTAGAGGTCATATGTGACCCGGGGCGGTCGGGTAGCCTAGTGGTTAAAGCGTTCGCTCGTCACGCCGAAGACCCGGGTTCGATTCCCGACATGGGTACAATGTGTGAAGCCCATTTCTGGTGTCCCCCGACGTGATATTGCTGGAATATTGCTAAAAGCGGCGTAAAACCATACTCATTCACTCACTCACTCATATGTGACCCAGTTGATATTAAGATATCTGCGAAGATGATACGAAATTCATCGACGTCACTCCCTTTATTAGTACACATGGAAAACTTAGGAATCATATACAATCTTCCACCATGTTAACTTTTCGTTTTTCAACAGTTAGGGACTGGCCATTTATTACGGTGGGTGGTGTGTGTGTGTGTGTGGAGGGGTGGGGGTACTGAATAATAACTTATCTAACATTTTTACATGCGCCACCCCCCTCCCCAATACATGTAAACTTTTCTCATGACACCCCCACCCCCAAATTAATGACCTGTCCCTAAACATTAAATGTTAAAAATAATAATAAAGATCCTACTTTCGTTTTGTGATGCAGCAATCCCAATGTGAAATCCCCGGTTTCATTAAAAATAGATCCATTTATTAGTTGATGAATCATTTGTTTCTGTTCTGGGAAATGTTTAAACCCTCTCAAGATAAAAAAAAAGCTTTTCCGTCTCTTATTATTCTCCGCACCCTTGTCGACCCGGAAGTGTAAAGTACAAGTGTCACATGTCCCTATGACACAATCATATCTAACCAATAGATGGTAAACACGTCATGGATTTTCCATTATCTATATTTAGATAAGACTCATCTTGGGGAAAAGCCTCGAAACTGTAAGCTTTGTAAACTGGGACTTAGGCCAAATTGATCTGGGACGCAATGTCTGACGAAATGTAAGTAGCCTGACTATATCATATTAATAGAACTGTATGAACGCAATTTAACTGAACGTAATGGGGATTGAATTATAACAAGATCTTAGCCACATCGTCGCCTGACCAACCTGTCAGTTAATTAGCGCGGATGAGATTACCAGCTGATTACGTGACTGTGTGCGTGTTACCGTGTACTCCTTGTCTGTCGGAGAGTTGCGATGGGATCCGACAGTGAGGTCATGACCGTGTCTTTGTTACGGGACCCCATCGCGGCTCTCGGCTCTTAGGGACGACCGCATGGGACTTTGAGCGACGCTTGTCGACTTAATCGAGGTCACGTAAATATCCTAGGCGGTGCCCATTAGTTAGACAGACAGTTGTTAGACACCTGAAATAACAACTTTTCTGGTTGAGTGCACAACAAAGTGCAATGCTGTTACCTTGATTGGTAATTGAATGACCCAAAGATAAACATCAATAAATAACAAAACAAAAAGACGTGTTAACTCGGATGTACTTATCCAGGGTTTTTTCTCTCAGCGACGTTTTGCTGACGTGCCTTTTCAGCTATAACTCAAGGAGCAGGGTATATGTGTGTGGGGGGGGGGGAGGGGTAATGGTATGTATGTGGGTAAGAGCGATGGTTAACGGTATATGTGTGGGTGTGGGGGAGGGGTAATGGTATGTATGTGGGTAAGAGCGGTGGTTAACGGTGTATGTGTGGGTGTGGGGGAGGGGTAATGGTATGTATGTGGGTAAGAGCGATGGTTAACGGTGTATGTGTGGGTGTGGGGGAGGGGTAACAGAGTGTGTGTGGGTGTGGGTGTGGGGGAGGGGTAATGGTATGTATGTGGGTAAGAGCGATGGTTAACGGTGTATGTGTGGGTGTGGGGGAGGGGTAACAGGTTATATATATGGGTGTGGGGGAGGGGTAACAGTATATGTGTGGGTGTGGGGGAGGGGTAACAGTATATGTGTGGGTGTGAGGGAGGGGTAACAGTATATGTGTGGGTGTGAGGGAGGGGTAACAGTATATGTGTGGGTGTGGGGGAGGGGTAACAGTATATGTGTGGGTGTGAGGGAGGGGTAACAGTATATGTGTGGGTGTGTGTGTGGGGGGGTAATATTATATGTGTGGGTGTGGGGGAGGGGTAACAGTATATGTGTGGGTGTGAGGGAGGGGTAACAGTATATGTGTGGGTGTGAGGGAGGGGTAACAGTATATGTGTGGGTGTGGGGGAGGGGTAACAGTATATGTGTGGGTGTGTGGTAACAGTATATGTGTGGGTGTGGGGCAGGGTTAACAGTATATGTGTGGGTGTCGGGGAGGGGTAGCGGTATATGTGTGGGTGTGTGTGTGGGGGGGTAATATTATATGTGTGGGTGTGGGGGAGGGGTAACGGTATATGTGTGGGTGTGTATGTGTGGGGGTAATATTATATGTGTGGGTGTGAGGGAGGGGTAACGGTATATGTGTGGGTGTGAGGGAGGGGTAACAGTATATGTGTGGGTGTGGGGGAGGGGTAACAGTATATGTGTGGGTGTGAGGGAGGGGTAACAGTATATGTGTGGGTGTGGGGGAGGGGTAACAGTATATGTGTGGGTGTGGGGGAGGGGTAACAGTATATGTGTGGGTGTGGGGGAGGGGTAATATTATATGTGTGGGGGTGAGGGAGGGGTAACGGTATATGTGTGGGTGTGAGGGAGGGGTAACAGTATATGTGTGGGTGTGAGGGAGGGGTAACAGTATATGTGTGGGTGAGGGGTAACAGTATATGTGTGGGTGTGAGGGAGGGGTAACAGTATATGTGTGGGTGTGGGGGGGGGGGGTAACAGTATATGTGTGGGTGTGAGGGAAGGGTAACGGTATATGTGTGGGTGTGGGGGAGGGGTAACAGTATATGTGTGGGTGTGAGGGAGGGGTAACAGTATATGTGTGTGTGTAGGGGAGGGGTAACGGTATATGTGTGGGTGTGGGTGAGGGGTAACAGTATATGTGTGGGTGTAGGGGAGGGGTAACGGTATATGTGTGGGTGTGGGGGAGGGGTAACAGTATATGTGTGGGTGTAGGGGAGGGGTAACGGTATATGTGTGGGTGTAGGGGAGGGGTAACAGTATATGTGTGGGTGTAGGGGAGGGGTAACAGTATATGTGTGGGTGTAGGGGAGGGGTAACAGTATATGTGTGGGTGTAGGGGAGGGGTAACAGTATATGTGTGGGTGTAGGGGAGGGGTAACAGTATATGTGTGGGTGTAGGGGAGGGGTAACAGTATATGTGTGGGTGTAGGGGAGGGGTAACAGTATATGTGTGGGTGTAGGGGAGGGGTAACAGTATATGTGTGGGTGTAGGGGAGGGGTAACAGTATATGTGTGGGTGTGGAGGTAACCAGTACTATCTCATGTTATAACATTGTAACCAGTACTATCTCATGTTATAACATTGTAACATATATCTCTTGTTATAACATCGTAACCAGTACCATCTCATGTTATAACATTATAACCAGTAATCATTGTAACCAGTTCTATCTCATGTTATAACACTGTAACATGTATCTCATGTTATATCATTATAACCAGTAATCATTGTAACAGTACTATCTCATGTTAAAACACTGTAACCATGTATCTCATGTTATAACATTGTAACCAGTAACCAGTACTACGTAACATTGTAATCATGTATCTCATGTTATAACACTGTAATCTTGTATCTCATTTCCTGCTTTCAGACTTTCAGTGGATGAAGGGTCGTCAGTTGACTTGCCATCAGGTAACGAATCCATCAACGGACCAATGGATAGCAGGTCATTCCACACCGGATCATCGGTGGACAGCTCCGGATATGGTTCTGTGGGTGGAAGTGAGTCAGTGAGCTCGTCACCCATCTTATTTAAACTCCTGGACGAGACGGATGGCCCGGAGACAGTTGACAGCCCTCAACAGAAGTGTGGGGTGTTTGGGGCGTCCCTGTCAACGCGGTCAAAGGATGGTGGTCATTTTCTTCATCAGCTGCACAAGGATGATCGAGACCAATGGTCCAAAATTCGGTAAGCTGATTTATAATATTAGGAAAATAGGGGAAAATATAAGGCACCTTATCCCTTTACAATGTGTATTGTGTTCTTTGAATGAGCTGAAATTTCTATGAGTTCCTGCTGTATTCTGCAATTCCATGCTCGCAGAATATTTTGCAGAAATGCCCACTCATTGCAGAAATGTTCCTATCTTGCAGAAATACACTTTTTGTGGGGAACTCGGGCAGACTTTGCATGTATTTGTTCCATGCCTAAATTTCATGTATCATTTGGTGACCCGGGTAAGATGTCTGAATGTCCTGGGGTCTCAGGGACCCGGACTTGTGTAGCTGTGGGAGGGATATGTCCTGGGTCGTGCTAACTGGACGGTACCGAAATAGCCTAATGTTCTTTGGGGGCCATTGGCCTTCCATGCTCTCTCTCTCTCTCTCTCTCTCTCTCTCTCTCTCTCTCTCTCTCAACCTCTCCCTCCCCCTCTCTCTCTCTCCCTCCCTCCCCCTCCCTCCCTCTCTCTCTCTCTCTCAATCCCTCCCTCTCTCTCTCTCTCTCTCTCTCTCTCTCTCTCTCTCTCTCTCTCTCTCTCTCTCTCTCGGCTCCTGATAAATGACTATGGAATGCATGCCAATACATAGTACAGGCGAATCCAAAAAGAAAACCACATACATGATACACACGATACATGCAGCAATCAAGTACAGGAGGAGCTAAGGGGTGGCTGGAGGGTAACGCAGTTGAGTGGCTTGCGACAATGTAGAAAGTAACCTCGTGCGGGGCTGCAGGGTTAATAAAGGTAAACACTGTGACGTCATGTCCGTCTTACTGGGCATGCGCAGACTGTTTGGAAGTGCATTGTGGGAAGTAATTACTGTAACATGATCCAGACGGAATGAAACAAATTAGATGACAGAGTTTTTTAGAAATCGTGTTGAATATAAAAGTAATGTGGTGACTGACCTGTAATTGGTAGATTAAATATGAACGAGTGAGTACTATTGTTGTTGCACAAACTAAAAAATTAAATTACCATTATATAGGCATGAAAACGTCTTGTTTAAATATACCCCTATCAAAAGTTGAGTAGTATGAGAGTATATTTCCCTATCAAAAGTTGTATTTGAGCATATACCCCTATCAAAAGTTGAGTGGTATGTGAGCATATATCCCTATCAAAAGTTGAGTGGTATATGAGTATGTCCCTATCCAAAGTTGAGTGGTATGTGAGTATGTCCCTATCAAAAGTTGTATGTGAGCATATACCCCTATCAAAAGTTGAGTGGTATGTGAGTATGTCCCTATCAAAAGTTGAGTAGTATAAGAGTATATTTCCCTATCAAAAGTTGTATTTGAGCATATACCCCTATCCAAAGTTGAGTGGTATATGAATATGTCCCTATCCAAAGTTGAGTGGTATGTGAGTATGTCCCTATCAAAAGTTGAGTAGTATAAGAGCATATACCCCTATCAAAAGTTGAGTGGTATGTGAGCATATACCCCTATCCAAAGTGGACTGGTATGTGAGTATGTCCCTATCAAAAGTTGAGTGGTATGTGAACATATATTTCTATCCAAAGTTGTATGTGAGCATGTACCCCTATCCAAAGTGGAGTGGTATTAGAGCATATACCCCTATCAATAGTGGTATGTGAGTATATAACCCTTTCAAATTTGGTAAATATACGAATGTAAGTCCATCTCAAATGTGGGTAATGTATATATGAGTTTATGTGACTGCAGCAGGCCAAGTTCAAATTTCAAATGACAAAGGGGTACAAGGTAAAATTATCATTTCAACTGAATTGGACTTCCAGAGATGGTGATAAAGTGCACGATGGGGATGAGCTCCAGTATATCAACCAGATGAACATGACGAGGTGGAGCCACCAGGAAGTCTTAGAGACCATACGCCACCTGAAGAATGACATCACATTTGTAAGTGCAGCGTATTGTTCATCTTCCGGAGGCAAGAGAGTTAACTGACCATAAAAGTCCAGTTTCCACCCTTGCCGAACTAGGCTTGAATTATTGAGTTACATTTTGGCTGGACTAACGAGTCTATGCATAGTCCAATCAAAATCGCGCACCGAAATTGAAATCCGGTTCGTAAACTGTCGTGCGGATTTTGATCGATTGCAGAATTTGCGGCGCACGTGCACCTCCAACTCGTTGTCAGTGGATATTTTCCAAATCTTGTCATGTTTTTAATCAAGGTGCTCACGTGATTTGAAGCATTTCGCGATGTAAGACCAATTTTATCACAATATAGATCTTGATTATCGATCAGATCGTCCTGACTGGGCGCCACCATTTTGTGTGAAGCAAATGCAAGAGATACGAGAGGTGGAATCTGATTGGTCCATAGGAGAGGCTTAGAAGGGACATAACTGGTAATAGCCACTGGTGGCGCTATGATCGAGCCCAGTAATTCCAGCCTAGTTCGGCAAGGGTGGAAACTGGACTTTTAAAGTCAGTTAACTCTCTTGCCTCGGGGAGATGTGTATTGTAACACAACAGGTCGCGTTACTCGGGTTAGTTGTTAGGAGTACAGTTCTAGGGTGAAACAATACATCAGTGCAACAGTGCATCATGAGTTTTCAAATGACGATACAATAAACAGCACATATTCTAATGTATCGATACATGATGATACACTTGCTGAAATAAATTACTTACTACTCGTTTAAGGGGCGGTCGGGTAGCCTAGTGGTTAAAGCGTTCGCTTGTCACGCCGAAGACCCGGGTTCGATTCCCGACATGGGTAAAATGTGTGAAGCCCATTTCTGGTGTCCCCCGCCGTGATATTGCTGGAATATTGCTAAAAGCGGCGTAAAACCATACTCACTCACTACTACTCGTTTAAAGACCCCTGGCAAAATATATCACAAAATATGTTGTAATTAGCGTTTCAAGTTCACTACTAAAAATAGTAGTTACAGACAGGCGTCTACAGCTAAATCTTCCTTTTGAACCTGCTCTGAAATATTTATTGTTAAGAAGTTTCCATGCAATTTGACGTAAAGTAAATATGCGTACCGTCTGCCGTTCTTCCAAGGACATATTTTTTGTGTGACCTTTAACTTGAAAACTAAATAATTCTTTGTGAACACTTTTTATAGATAATAGGACAGGTGCAGTACAAAGTTTCATTTCGATATTTGGATTTTCAGAAAAAATACATATTTTTTTTATTTGTTTACTTAAACCTTTTTTACTGAAACATTTGTGTGACCTATAACTACTTCATGGATTCTATTCAAATTTAGGGAACAGTTTCCATACTGATAGAAGAGGTGCAGTGCAAAGTTTAATTTTCATAAATGGATTTTCTGAGAAAATATTGAATTTTTCATGTTTTGAACTTTTTTTAAATATGTTGAAAGAAAAAAACATGTGTTGGTTGGAGGGCAGTAACCTTGCACCCCTAGTCTGTATTTGCCAGAGCTTGAAATTCTGGATGTGGTGAGCTTTCAGACAAGACTATGTAGACTATCTTGTTGACATGACATGTTTCACTAATCACATACTCTTGCTTGTTTCGCTAAATTGATGACAGGTTCTCTGTTGGATTTATTCTCTCATTAAGCTGACACGCCATTATATAACTCATATACTCACTCACTCATTCACTCAAGCACTCACTCACTCCAGCACTCACACTCTAACTCGCACCCTAACTCAATCCCTCACTCACTCACTCACTCACTCACTAAAGCACTCATACTCTAACCCACAACCTAACTCACTCACTCATTCACTTACTCACACACTCCAGCACTCACGCTCTAACTCACACCCTCACTCACTCACTAAAGCACTTACTAAAGCACTCACTACACACTCACTCTAACTCACTCACTCACTCACTCACTCACTAAAGCACTCACTCACTAAAGCACTCATACACTCACTCACACCCTAACTCACTCACTCACACCCTAACTCACACTCTCTCTCACTCACTCACTAAAGCACTCATACACTCGCACTCACTCACTCACTCACTCACTAAAGCACTCATACACTAACTCACTCACTCACTTAAACACTCACTCACTAAAGCACTCATACGCTCGCACTCACTCACTCACACACTCACTGAAACACTCACTCACTCACTCATGTGCAACTACAGATGTATGTCAAGAAGAATACTGGCTTTTTGATACATTCGCTAAATTGATGACAGGTTCTCTGTTGGATTTGTTCTCTCATTAAGCTGACACGCCATTATATAACTCATATACTCATTCACTCAAGCACTTCTTCAAGCACTCACTCACTCCAGCACTCACACTCTAACTCACAACCTAACTCACTCACTCACTCACTCATACTCCAACTCACACCCTCACTCACTCAGTCACTCACTCAAGCACTCATACTCTTACCCACACCCTAACTCACTCACTCATTCACTTACTCACACACTCCAGCACTCACGCTCTAACTCACACCCTAACTCACTCACTCACACCCTAACTCACACTCTCTCTCACTCACTCACTAAAGCACTCATACACTAGCACTCACTCACTCACTCACTCACTCACTAAAGCACTCATACACTAACTCACACCCTAACTCACTCACTCACTGAAACACTCACTCACTAAAGCACTCATACACTTGCACTCACTCACTCACTCATTCACTCAAGCACTTCTTCAAGCACTCACTCACTCCAGCACTCACACTCTAACTCACAACCTATTACTCACTCACTCACTCATACTCTAACTCACACCCTCAGTCACTCAATCCCTCACTCACTCAGTCTCTCACTTACTCACACCCTCACTCACTCAGTCTCTCACTCACTCACTAAAGCACTCATACACTCGCACTCACTCACTCGCTCACTGAAACACTCACTCACTCACTCACTCACTCAAGCACTTCTTCAAGCACTCACTCACTCCAGCACTCACACTCTAACTCACAACCTATTCCTCACTCACTCACTCATACTCTAACTCACACCCTCACTCACTCAGTCTCTCACTTACTCACTCACTCACTCACTCACTCATACTCTTACCCACACCCTAACTCACTCACTCATTCACTTACACACTCCAGCACTCACACTCTAACTCACACCCTCACTCACTCACTCGCTAAAGCACTCATACTCTAACCCGCACCCTAACTCACTCACTCACTTACACACTCCAGCACTCAAACTCTAACTCACACCCTCACTCACTCACTCACTCGCTAAAGCACTCATACTCTAACCCACACCCTAACTCACTCACTCACTCACTTACACACTCCAGCACTCACACTCTAACTCACACCCTCACTCACTCACTCACTCACTAAAGCACTTACTAAACCACTCACTCTAACTCACTCACTCACTCACTCACTAAAGCACTCATACTCTAACCCACACCCTAACTCACTCACTCATTCACTTACACACTCCAGCACTCACACTCTAACTCACACCCTCACTCACTCACTCACTCACTAAAGCACTTACTAAAGCACTCACTCTAACTCACTCACTCACTCACTCACTAAAGCACTCATACTCTAACTCACACCCTAACTCACTCACTCACTCACACCCTAACTCACACTCGCACTCACTCACTCACTGAAACATTCACTTACTCACTAAAGCACTCATAAACTCGCACTCACTCACTCACTCACTCACTCACTGAAACACTCACTCACTCATGTGCAACTACAGATGTATGTCAAGAAGAATACTGGCTTTTTTATACAGTTTTGAAACATACCGTTTTACTTTTATCATTGTAGACATTTTTCCGTGAGAAGAAGGAGTTTGAAGAAGATCACATTGAACGAACAGAAGACCTTTTCATCGAGATAACCTTCAATATCAGCGACCTTGACTCTGATGGCAAGGGTATTTCTATAGGTACCAGTACCACATTATTGAAGAAGTCCTTCATTTCAACTTTCTTTTTCACTTTCGATCATTTTTAGCTTATCTAAACCTTATCAATGAAAATGAAGTTTATTAAACTTTAAGATCTGCTTGTTTTATAATCTCTTTGAAGTTTGATTTTAAATTAAATTAAGGTTGAATAATTAGAATGTCTAATATGCATTTGGAAAAATGAATTGACCTGGAAGTATTTTCTTTAACAATAGTACAAGAAAAATTGATTTTGTTTTTTACATAGTGAATTGTCATTGAGTAACCTATTTTTAAAAAAAAGAATTTATTGTTTGTGCAAAGGCAGACTTATATACTACTCAAAAGAAGTTAAGGATCACCTGATTCTTTCATATTACAATAGTTAATCTCTCATGCCATGACTGATTAACATTACCAATATGAAAGAATCAGGTGATCCTTAACTTCGTTTGAGTAGTATACATATAACTAGAAGATAAGTTTTGTTGATTCTCATTTTCTCACATTCCAGGAAATGTGGCCTCTCACATCAAAGGAGTCATGATTAAAGTCGTCCAGAATATTTCGTATAAAAGCTCGCTGAATGTTGTGTCATTTTCTGGGTCGACGGAAGTGAAAATTGGTCATGGTGCAATGACACAACGCTATCTCCGTGCCAAACAAGATGAAGTTGACATGGAGCGAAGAACTTCAGACCAGAAACCTTGTAAGTATGGCAGGCAGGCAGCCACAGCAAACACTGGCATAGCCTAATCTTGGTTTGACTCATCCTCTGTGATACAGGGCGTAGGCTAACTCTTTGTCTATGAAACCATTTCTTTTCAGTTACAGGCATTTTTTATTAAATCCAATTTTGATGATATATCATCAAACATCCATCGGAGGAAAGCTCTGTGTTAGCAGTCACCAATAGGTTTCTGGTGATTGTTTTTAAGGCCACACATTTACACGTGTGTAAAGCGGTTTACATTTACACGGTATACTGATTTGAGTTACACCTGTGAAATCTTGGTTTACATTCACACCTGTGTAATCTTGGTTTACATTCACACGTGTGTAACCTTGGTTTACATTCACACATGTGTAACCTTGATTTACATTCACACATGTGTAATCTTGGTTTACATTCACACATGTGTAATCTTGGTTTACATTTACACATGTGTAATCTTGGTTTACATTCACACCTGTGTAACTTTGGTTTACATTCACACCTGTGTAACCTTGGTTTACATTTACACGTGTGTAACCTTGGTTTACACTTACACGTGTGTAACATGGTTTACATTTAAACGTGTGTAACCTTGGCTTACATTTACATGTGTGTAACCTTGGTTTACATTTACACGTGTGTAATCTTGGTTTACACTTACATGTGTGTAATCTTAGTTTACATTCACACGTGTGTAACCTTGGTTTACATTCACACATGTGTAACTTTGGTTTACATTTACACGTGTGTAACCTTGGCTTACATTAACACGTGTGTAACCTTGGTTTACGTTTACACATGTGTAACCTTGGTTTACATTTACACATGTGTGTAATCTTAGTTTACATTCACACGTGTGTAACCTTGGCTACATTCACACATGTGTAACTTTGGTTTACATTTACACGTGTGTAACCTTGGCTTACATTTACACGTGTGTAACCTTGGTTTACATTTACACATGTGTAATCTTGGTTTACATTTACACGTGTGTAACCTTGGTTCACATTTACACATGTGTAATCTTGGTTTACATTTACACGTGTGTAACCTTGGTTTACATTTACTAATGTGTAATCTTGGTTTACATTAACACATGTGTAATCTTGGTTTACATTTACACGTGTGTAACCTTGGTTTACATTTACACATGTGTAACCTTGGTTCACATTTACTAATGTGTAATCTTGGTTTACTTTTACACGTGTGTAACCTTGGTCTACATTTACTAATGTGTAACCTTGGTTTACATTTACACATGTGTAATCTTGGTTTACATTTACACGTGTGTAACCTTGGTTTACATTCACATATGTGTAACCTTGGTTTACACTTACACGTGTGTAACCCTGCTTTACACTTACACATGTGTAACCTTGGTTTACATTCACACATGTGTAACCTTTGTTTACACTTACACGTGTGTAACCTTGGTTGACATCCACACATGTGTAATCTTGGTTTACATTTACACGTGTGTAACCTTGGTTTACATTTACATGTGTGTGTAATCTTGGTTGAAATCCACACGTGTGTAACCTTGGTTTACATTACATGTGTGTAACCTTGGTTTACATTTAAATGTGTGTGTAATCTTGGTTGACATCCACACGTGTGTAACCTTGGTTTACATTTACACATGTGTAACCTTGGTTTACAGTCACATACGTGTGTAACCTTGGTTTACATTCACATACATGTGTTACCTTGGTTTACATTTACACATGTGTGTAACCTTTGTTTACACTTACACATGTGTAACCTTGGTTGACATCCACACATGTGTCATCTTGGTTTACACTTACACGTGTGTAACCTTGGTTGACATCCACACGTGTATAACCTTGGTTGACAACCACACATGTGTGTAACCTTTGTTTACACTTACACCTGTGTAACCTTGGTTGACAACCACACATTACATCTCAATTTACATCCGTGTCATCTAGTTCTACATTGTTATTTTCAGACTGTTTCCAGATGCACAGCTACGTTGTTCAGGACAGGGAAGATGCCGACCCTAGAAGTCTGGAACGTATGGTGGCATTTCAAAGCTGCCTAAACAATAAGTTCCTGATGTGCCAGAAGAGCTCAAAGAAACTCACACTACTGGAGGTAGATATACTCATTACCCACTTTCTCTACTGCAGACAAAGGAGACACATTTTTGGGATAACAACTTCTTTATTGTACTTTTATAGCAACGATTCCATACAGATCCTCACACCGTTGTCAAGCAACTATCCTAATTGTGATCCGTCAACTTCTGAAAATGCCCATCAAACGACTACAAGAAATGTAGTATCTGTGACGAAGGTCTACAATCAATACCATGGTTGCCGACGCTTGCTTGACAGTACCACTGTGGGCCACTCACTCCTCATAATAGTTCTTATTTTAGGCAACTGAAACATTTCAGAAAGAATTTTTGCTTGCTCGCTCCTTTTACTCCCCTCCAGGATCCATCATCAAATTTGCAAGGCCTTATGTACAGTGTATCTGAAATTCATAGGGGGGAAATTGTTGCCTTGGCTGGACCCTCTTTTATCATCCAAATTGAGTGAGTGAGGTTTTACGCCGCTTTTAGCAATATTCCAGCAATATCACGGTGGGGGACACCAGAAATGGGCTTCACACATTGTACCCATGTCGGGAATCGAACCCGGGTCTTCGGCGTGACGAGCTAACGCTTTAACCACTAGGCTACCCGACCGCCCTTTTTCATCCAAAACTGGATCCCACAGGAGATATCAGGAGATATCTACATTGTAGATATCGCTGCAATGAAATTGCATCACAATGCTTTGCAGACCATTGCAGACCATTGGTTGCCATGACGTCACAATCAAATGACATCACTAATAGTTCTGCTACTGAAGCTCATTGATAAAAGTGGAAAAACTGAGGCAAGCCTCAGGCAAGCAAACTCGTGTTGATATATTTGATATCAAAAGACACTCGGGTGAGATTCTCTATTTATAACTGATAGGGTTAGAAAAAAACTGAGTTAATAAATATTGTATGTGCACTAGTATATTGCATATTATAGCTAAAATGGATAAAATTATCATTAAACTGTCTGCATGTGATCAGAAATGAGCGGGACGCTGGAACTTGATGATGCCCTCATATTGCTTGGGGACTGGCCATTATATATCAATTTATGTTGATATATCTGATATCAAAAGACACAAGGGTGAGATTTTCTTTATCATCCAACATCATTCTTCCAACTTCTTCAGTTTGTAGACAGTAATTAGTAGTGTCTTAAGTGTTAAAAGTACTGCTAACAGCTTCAGTAGCAGAGCCATTAGTGATGTCATTTGATTCTGATGTCATGGTAACAATGACGACACAATGGTCTGCAAAGCATTGTGATGCAATTTCACTTGTTATCATATAATGGGTTGGTTTCTTGGCAGGATAATGCCAACAGATAAAAACAATATCCATTGGGGTCATATGCGGATAGAGATGCAAATTTCAAAGGTCAAGTAGGGACTACTTTCAATGTTTATAAACAAACATGGCGTCGCCCTTGTCATTCGGCGATCGAGTCAGAATTAACCATTGGGAATCTGGATAAACTACAGTGATAATTGCTATCATTATCAAAAGAACAGTCTAATATACTGAAAATCAGTGTCTAACTGTGACGTAGCTAAGGCCTTTTTTTAAGTTTTGGCAACTTTGGAGATATAAATTTTGAAACAATTTTGCGAGGGCACGAGGCCTAGCCAAGCGGGACCAAGAGCCATATCTGTGCTTGTAGACCTCTGCGGACTGAACCTTTCTCCACAAATTAAAATAGTTGGATTTGGCCGAAATATGTTCGAATTGTTACCTTATTTCGTTTTGCCGCTGTGTGCACATCTGACTACACTTCTTAACGTTATGACAGAACAGACCGACTGCATGTCTGACTGTGGCCGTGACGTCTCATAGACTAGTGTTAGAGTAGCTTCCCTTTGACAAAGGGCAGCTACTCTAGCGGACAGACCGATGGATTTGCCGCGAAAGGCAATTAAAAACAATTCTTGTTTTGCGTATATGTTGCTTCGCCATGTATAAGTAACAGATTTCAGTTGGAACTAAATTGGCTACTGTCACTGTCCGACTAACACATCACTTACCCTGTGACGTAATAAATATTAATGTGCGCATTCCAGGAAAACTCGCAATGTTTCGGTAACGTTAGTGACAGAGGGAAAGCGATTTCGAAGCACAGAATTAAAGAATGACATTATATGATAAAGAGACTATCACGCTTGTGTGTTTGGGGATGGTAAATATCCTGTATTAGGAATAAACACCATGTATTTAGCTCGCCAAGGCTCATTAAATACAATGTTTATTCCTAATGCAAGATATTTACCATCCCCAAACACACTTGCGTGATAACCTCTATTTCTCATGCAAGGATACCTCTTGTGGGAGCCAGTTTTGGATAATAAATGGTACAAGATACAAGTGAGTTATGGAGCCTTGTTGCTACCTTGTTTTGATGCTTCTCTTGATTGGCAAACGACCACTTTGACAAGAACGGGTTTTTACAATTTTATTGTATTTCAACGAGAAAGTTATTTTGATCATTTTTCATCTGATGAAGGAGAAGTATATCCACACATCCACAAATTCTCTTCCTTAAGAAGAAAGTTGTGTTGATGTTTCAGATTCATATTGATGACAACCAACTCCAAGTGAAGGCTGCGAACAGTCCGTGTTTGTTTCTCATGACGGAGAACGGTAGCGAAGACTTCTACCTGGAATCTGTTGCCTATGAAGGTGAGTACTCGAATGATGGTTCCAGTCATCAAAATTCACTGAGTGAGTGAGTGAGTTGGGTTTAACGTTGGGTATTCCAGTTATATCACGGCGTGTCAGCTTAATGTGGGAGGAAAGCCCGAAGTGATGCCGGTCTCAGACGTTTACCACTTCGGTGAAACCAACGAGCACGGATATGGTGCTGACAAACCTAGAAACATAATTGGGGCAAACCGGGATTCGAACCCACAATCATAGGATTCTGGCGTGCCTAAGGGACGCAACTCTGCACATTGAGTCATGGCACCTTAGACGACTGGGCCACCTTCAAAATTGAAGTGAATAATAGGTCTTTTCAGCCCTTACAGTTTTCTGGGCAGAATTGATTGCCAGTACCTTGTGCTTGTGGGAATGAGTTTGAGTTTGTCAAGGAAGGTCATTCAGTTTAGATCATGTTAAAGACCGATCTCCCTGTTGAACATTGAGATCTCTATGTCGGCTCAGAGCGGAAGTATAGTGTTCAACACTGGCCATGTAAGAAGTCATTGAGATTTTCTGCAGCTAACAAAGTGCTATCCACACTCTATACCTACATATGTGAATGGATGTAATTAACTTTCCTATGCTGTATTAAGGCAGTTTTAACCATGGCACACTGTGTCCATGTTCAAAATATAAAACACTTTAGCAAAGGCGATACAGACAGGTACAAACACCAAAATGACGTGTAAAACTGAGCATGTAGGCAGATAATGGCATGGACAGGCGTAAATTGAAATTTACAAATGTTAAATTTGGATAACACAAAAATCCATAAAAATGAAAGTCTGACAAGTCTAGATCACGTAATTTGTGTACCCCTCTGACAAGTGTAAATTGGCGTGGCTCCCATCGCCAAAATCTATGAACACACAATGCCATTTGGAAAGTGGTCAAAAGTAACAGATGTTATTTTTCGGATAACACTTTCTTCGTAAAGTACAAATTCTAGTACTATCTTTAGTTGGGTCCCATCTGGGATTCGAACCCACACTGTCAGAGTGAGGCACCTAATCAGGTATACAAAGTATGTGATCTAGACTACCAGTTGTCAGACTTTCTTTTTGTGGAAGCCTCGGTGGCTGAGTGGGCTAGATCGCTGACTTTGTGTGCTGACGATTAGGTGCCTCACTCTGGCAAGTGTGGGTTCAAATCTCGGATGGGACTCAACCCCCAAAAGTACTAGAATCTGTACCTTACGAAAAAAGTGATATCCCTATTAAAACATGCGTTGTTCATGTCAAATACATCACATTGATCACCAAACTGTAAGTGTGATTCCAGGTAATTTGGTCAAACTGAACTTGTCAGAACAGTTGAGTATAAATCCTGTAGGAGTTCTGTTAGAAAGTCTAATAATGCCGGCGTATTTCAGGACACTTCCTTGGCTTCGATGAGGTTGACCGTCTCGAGCTGACACATCTGAAGAATTCTCCAGCTTCTCCAAAGTTTCAAGAGACTGACGTTATTCGTCGGAACTACACCTTTCATATTCACTAAAACAACCAACTTGAGATGCAAAATTGTCATTTGGCCTGCATCTGATGCGTAAAGCTGACATGCGATAGCCTGACAGCACAGCCAGCCCTACATGATTGGATTATCACACAATGTGGATAAAAGAGGGTTTGTTTTGTGATCACATGTAAGAATACATGTGCTAGATGATTGTTAATTTGTGAAGAGGTTATTTCTTGTTTTGTTTCATATATGAAACGTCCAAATGTCTGGGCTTTAAATAATGCGGCTAAAGGGGTCTGCAGCATCCCCATGTGTCTAAAGTCCAATGTACTTACAGTTTAAAACAACATGATTTGGTCTGATGGTCAGGATGTGGTATAAAACTTATTTTACCCATAATAACTTGTCCATTTACCAAAGTGTAGGCAATCTGGCAAATGGATAAAAATGGAATATAATGTTATTTTTTATGTTGTCCTATTCATCTATCATTTTAGTTTTTGGTACAAAATGATCAGTCAAATCATATCACAGAAATTCTCAACTGGTGAATGGCAGTATGAATTATTTAAATTCACAATATGAAATTCATATCTTTGTGTCATGTTCACATTCAAATTCACAGACAAGTCACCAAGGTCACAGTTCACAAACTTTTTTGCTAATTTAATCAATTGTGCATCAGTGTCTTGGAACTGTAATATGTATTAAACACTGAGGATGAGGCAAGTTAGCAATGGGTGATTAATATGTGGACAGTCAGTTAATTAGCAGTATTCACAGACAGAATTTACATTTGTTGTACATATTTCAGACATTTATTTTCATATTTTGACCATCTGTTATAATAATTGTTGCTGTTGTGGATAGTCATGACATATTTTCTACTAACAAGGTCACAGTGACATTTAAAGTAAACCACAGTATCCAAAGGATAAAAAGTCATAGTGACAAGTAGGTCATGGTGACAGGAGTGTAAAAGGTCACAGTGACATTAAGGATAAAAGGTCACAGTGACATTTCAAAGTAGGCCATGGTGACAGAAGGATAAAGGTCACAGTGACATTAAGGATAAAAGGTCACAGTGACATTTGAAAGTAGGCCATGGTGACAGAAGGATAAAGGTCACAGTGACATTTGAAAGTAGGCCATGGTGACAGAAGGATAAAGGTCGCAGTGACATTAAGGATAAAAGGTCACAGTGACATTTCTTGGAAATGGCATGTGAATCGTACTTACATAGATGAAATAAATCACCTGCTGATCCCTCCTCCCACCTACATGTCATACCTACGTAACCACACAGCCTCAGCATCCTATGACGGCCTCGGGATCAGCCATTTGATGTTCTGGAGCGGCCTGGGAATTAGTAAGGAGATTGAATATGTGTCAGCTGCATCTGAAAAAACAGACATTGTTTTAATTAAAACTATGGGTCTAACTATATTTATATTCGTTTTAAAATAATCTTGCAACAATGTATTTTTGTGCCAGGAAGATTGTTGGTGTTTTTTTCTGCTGTCTGAAGCATCTTTATCTTTTTCAAATATTTTCTGGAACAATTTATATATTTCAATAAAATCCCAGGTGCTGAAACCACACCCATTTGAGTAAGGGATAATTTCCTTTTCATCATTTAAATTCAGTAAAATAAGAACAAAATTGTGCTGTAACTTTCAGTGTGGTCAGTGTAAAACAATTAAATACTTTTTGACTATTTCCTTTCCGTATTTTCCATGTATATAGTTTTAAAAAAATGTATCGTTTTCACATTTCATTTGATGCCATGTATTGTTTATTGTTGGTAGACGTGTTCATAGATATGTTGTGATGTAATAATCAACTTGGGATACCGAGATCTCTGTGATTTGATCTCTTGACATAGACATTCGGTTTGGTATATCACAGCAGTATTCCTATAAAGCTTTGAGAAGCAGATATGATTTACTATTGTGACTGTTGAATAGGCATTGTGAGCAATAGAGTTACCAGTGTGTAGACCTACTCCTGACTGACTCCCACCTGGGTCTAGATCTTGAAAACATTGAAGGTTTCTGTTAAGCAAATCGATCAAAAATGACCAAAATCATCAAAACAAAAATAGTATTTTTTTATCAATCCACACCACACAGCCAATTTCTGGTGTCGCCTGTCATGATATTGCAGGAATATTGCTAAAAGCGGCGTAAAACCGTACACACTTACTCAAAAGGTAACAAAATGCATCTGAGAAATTTTAACTCACCTGATAACGTAAAACCGTACACACTTACTCAAAAGGTAACAAAATACATCTGAGAAATTTTAGCTCACCTGATAATGTAAAACCATACACACTTACTCAAAAGGTAACAAAATGCATCTGAGAAATTTTAACTCACCTGATAACGTAAAACCATACACACTTACTCAAAAGGTAACAAAATACATCTGAGAAATTTTAGCTCACCTGATAATGTAAAACCATACACACTTACTCAAAAGGTAACAAAATGCATCTGAGAAATTTTAGCTCACCTGATAATGTAAAACCATACACACTTACTCAAAAGGTAACAAAATGCATCTGAGAAACTTTAGCTCACCTGATAATGTAAAACCATACACACTTACTCAAAAGGTAACAAAATGCATCTGAGAAATTTTAGCTCACCTGATAATGTAAAACCATACACACTTACTCAAAGGGTAACAAAATGCATCTGAGAAATTTTAGCTCACCTGATAATGTAAAACCATACACACTTACTCAAAAGGTAACAAAATGCATCTGAGAAATTTTAGCTCACCTGATAATGTAAAACCGTACACACTTACTCAAAAGGTAACAAAATGCTTCAGAGAAATTTTAGCTCACCTGATAACGTAGACTGTACACACTTACTCAAAAGGTAACAAAATGCATCTGAGAAAGTTTAGCTCACCTGATAATCAAACTTAAAACTTGTGTTACTGTTCCCACCAAGGATTACACCTGAATTTGTATAAAAGGTTCGAATCTGATTTTCAATTACCAACATGGAAGCCATATTGAACAAACTATTTATGACCATTACTCTGTTAGTTTTTGTTAAAAATGTACTGAAAATGTGTACTTAGTAGTAGGGCTCAACACTTTAGTTTTGTTGCAATTATCTAAATTTTGGCCTCGCAGCCATCTTTGCATTTTGATGATGCTCCTGAATTCTATGAAAATTCATTCTTTGTCTGCTAACATCATCTCCTGAAAGTCACATGACCAGGGATACTGAGACTTCACATGAAGTTCACCTATTTGTTCGTGAATTTGTTCAAGAGGATCACAACCATGTGGTTGCTACAGCAACTCAGAATTAAACGACCCTCACGAAGACTCTTCAAATATAAAATGAAATCACTCAGGTCAGATACTCTCTAATTCCGTTTATGTTAGTCTGTAAATGATGGTCTTGTCTCCAGCCTCTGCAACCTCTTCATGGACGACAATGAATACTCAAGTCCACATCCTGCTCTTGACACCGACTGAGAAAACTGACCTACTTCTTATGCCAAATAAATAAGAAAATATCTGACAACATTTAATCTCATTAAAATCAGATCTAAGTTCTCGCGGCCGCTAAACATAGATCTGAGGTCATCCCATTTCGGGTCACATCAGAACAACCTTTCGCGAACTTTGACCGACCACTGAAATGACTGACGAGAAGTCGACATCAGCCAATTAGAAAGCAGCTTTCTCGAGCTTTACAGCACTCGTTTCAACCTGGCGACTTCCATTTCGGACAACGCTTGAAAAATATGTTGAAACAGTTCTCGATTTAACTTTTGAAAACTGAACAAACGAACATTCCGGAATGTCTAATATATGGTTGAGATTGTATGGTAGTGCTTCCCACATACTGTGCAATGCCTCATTCATACAAATATGTATCCTATGGAAGCCAGAGATAGATGATAATTTTGACCGAATCAGTCGTACGGGCCGTAAATGTCGTTCGGAATACACTGTTTTAACGTTTTCAAGGTTGCATGGTCGTTCTGACATGACCCGTAATGGGATGGCCTCGGATCTTTGTTTAGCAGCAGCGAGAACTTAGATCTGATTTTAATGAGATTGGCACACATTAGTATCCATTTGCATTTTAACCAATAAAATGAGCTAATTGTAAGTAAGACACATAACCATGATCAAGTGTTAACCTGCAGTATACAATGTGTTGTTTAAGGTTGAAGACAGGTGGCCCAGTGGCTAAGGTGCTCTGTAAGTTCCTGACTATAGGTTTGAATCCCAAATTCTCCCAAATTTTATCCTTGGTCAAATTGAATTTTAAATATTTTCCTCTTCTTGTATGTTAGCAACAAGAACAATGTTACATGAACAATATGATATAACATTGGCCGTTATTAATGACACAAGTTGGCATCTTCCCGAGGCAAGGGAGTTAACTGACTATAAAAGTCCAGTTTCCACCCTTGCCAAACTAGGCTGGAATTTTTTACTTGATCGTAGCACCACCAGTGGTTGTTACGAGTTATGGCCATGTGTCCAGTCAACCGAAATGTGCACGGTAGTCGCCCTGTTGTTTACGAAATGGATGTCGATTTCATTACACAATTTTGATCAGATTGTACAGACTCGTTTGGCCAAAATGTCAATCTGAAATTTCAGATTAGTTCAGCAAGGGTGGAAACTGGACTTTTATTGTCAGTTAACTCCCTTGCCTCAGGAAGATGCAACTTGGTGACATTATATTGACATTACATTGACATTACATTGACTTACATTGACATTACATTGACTTACATTGACATTACATTGACTTACATTGACATTACATTGACTTACATTGACATTACATTGACTTACATTGACTTACATTGACATACATTGACTTACATTGACTTACATTGACATACATTGACATCACATTGACGTTACATTGACATTACATTGACTTATATTGACATTACATTGACTTACATTTACATTACATTGACTTACATTGACATTACATTGACGTTACATTGACTTACACTGACTTACATTGACATTACATTGACTTACATTGACTTACATTGACTTACATTGATGTTACATTGACGTTACATTTACTTACATTGACCTACATTGACTTACATTGACATTACATTGACTTACATTGACATTACATTGACTTACATTGACATTACATTGACATTACATTGACTTACATTGACATTACTTCATCATAGCATTTGGTTGATTTCAGTGTGCAGAAAACTATTGATTACGAATACTCTTATAACGAACTGATGGCTACAACGAACTCTTTTATTGTCCTGCCCCTTTGCTGTATGTATGCTTATAACAAACTATGGTTATAATGAACTAAAAGTTGTCCTTTGAGTTCCTTATAACCATAGTTTACGTTAGTTACTTAATGTGGTCTAGTCATTTCATACATGTTTTAGTTGTGTTCGCGCGTTTGTGAAAATTTGCTTTTACTACTGTTATAGTGTTTCTGATTTCAAACGGGTGAGCTACAGGCCCTTGTGCAGCACTGTCATGTGTATTACCGTATTCGACGTAATAAGCGCCCAGAGCGCTCTCAAAATTAGAAATAGGGGGCTCTTATTAGAATATTATTTTGGTGAAAAAAAACAGAGTTGAAAAATAAATTCTTGGTTTATGCTGACAGCCTGAAATGTTTGTATACGACAGATATATTTTTCCAGAATTTAATTGTCCATAATTAAGGGTGCATATTTCACACAAGTGCGTATTATACAGGAATAAATAGGTCTTGTGTACATTGATCAATCAGAAGGGGTGCTAATTAGGATTGTTCACTAGCCAATATATTAGCAAATATCGCCGTGGCCGCTTATTAGAGTGGGGCGCTTATTACGTCGAATACAGTACATTATAGTGTCAGTTAGGAATGGGTATTTGAGGTTTAAAGTGTATGACAACATTTTGCAATGCACAAGGCCGTATTGCGATACGTATCACAATATATTGTATAATTCTAAATTTTTAATTCAGCAATAATCTGATACATTAAGGTGTGAATTGAAGTTTATAAATGGAACAAACAAAATGCTGGTACAACGTGATGTTTACTCACTCAATAAATATGCAGCCATCTTGGGGACGAGGATGCTCTCTCCCATTTGGAAAATATATAACATTAAACACATGATAAAAATCCCAATTTGAAATCACCCGAGCATGGAAAAATGATATTGTGATAGGTATCATGGTAGAATAAACTCAATTTACCGATATACTGGTATGCAGTGTGTCCTAGATCGGTCAGTCCCTGTATTGATAAGCTACAAGTGAGTGCTATTGCTTTTGTGAAACTATTTCTTTACACGTCCCTTACTCTAATATCCACACAGAAAGTTGAAGTTCTGATTAAGTAATGAACTTCAGATTTCGGTTATCTCTTCGGCCAGACCAACTCAACCCAAAGGGACAAGGAATAAGGCCATTTTTGGTCCACTGAAATGTCAAATTTAAAGTTATAGAAAATGTAGAAATTATACCGGACTAAGTAGCCTTGAATTGGAATACATGTGTAGGTGCAATAGTGTAATGTATTTTTATATATTTCATAGTTCTGTTAAGTGAAGGGCGGTCGGGTAGCCTAGTGGTTAAAGCGTTCGCTCGTCACGCCGAAGACCTGGGTTTGATTCCTGACATGGGTACGATGTGTGAAGCCCATTTCTGGTGTCCCCCACCGTGATATTGCTGGAATATTGCTAAGATCAGCGTAAAACCATACTCACTCTCAAACTATTTGACCCACTTCACATATGAGGGTTGAAATAACAAAGGGGTACACCACAAAATATTTCCAGACTTTTTTCACTATTGAATATTTGTGTAAATTTGGATTATTTTTTTTTCTTCCCTTTTTGAAGAAATTTGGGTTGTGGGTTTGTGAGCCAACAAATAACAAATTTATGTCCTTGGTGCCTTTGGCAGGCAAAAACTGCAACGATTGGTACAAAATTTGTGTTTCACTTGACGTGCTTTATGGTATTAACACCTGGTTCACTTTGGTGGTAATATCCCGTGATAACATATTTTAATAGTTATTTGTTTTTTTTAAACATTTGTCACAATGTTTTACTGAGTGTATTATTGTTATATATTAGTATAATGTACTGCCTTTTATTACAGTATTTAAACTGCCATAGACTGTACATACAGATTGAGACAACTGACTGCATGCAGTGACATGCAGGTGCCTGCGATTGTATAGAGTTTTCAATATTTTCCTATATTTGTTACATATTTTTATGAACAATACATATATACATATATATATGTACACGTTATTCCTATATTTTATCATAAAATGTTATTGATTTTATAAATTGATATGATGAACTGATCCGATAAACTTAGTATCACGATCCAATAAATATGCAGATGAGGTCAACTCGCAGGAACTGAATTTTAGCGCCATGTACCGAATCAATTGCTCAATAACAGAACTCAAGATAACTTTTGAGCAATTGAGTTTTTACTCTAGGGTTTCTATTTTAATTGGGTTATTGTATTTTCCATTGGGTAACCAAAATTTTTCAACTTACCTAATAACTCCATTGGGTTTTTCCCCAAAAAGAGTAAACATTTTAAGATTTAAAAAAGAATGAAATAATGTTTTAACCATGATAACTGTTCTAAATAAAGAGGCTTGACTCGGAAAGTAAATTAGCTCGTAATTGTGTTTCGGAAATCAGCTCCTTTGTACGCATGCTGAAAAATCTTCATTTGGTATTTACGTCTCCTG